ATATATATTTGTATCTATTTTATTGAGAGCAACAGCAACAGCAAATCAGCAAAATGTAAATATATGAACTAAAACAAATAAAATAAACAAACAATAATCTGATAATATATGTAATTAATGAATTAACAATGAATTCAGTTGATGGCCTGTTCAATTTCGATCGCTTCATTCACACTAGTGCTTAGCTCTTAATTAATTAGCCAAGTAGAGATTATCATTATTATTATTATTATTATTATTACGATTATTATTATGATTAGTAGAAAAACTGAACAAAAAACAAAAACGAAAAAACGAAAAAAAAAAAACCATAAAAAGTAAAGAAAAGAATAGTAAAACAAAAACAACTTAGCTGAAAATCGGTGCTTTTGACTGTTTCCATTTGTCCACATTTACATTTACAATTGTATTTGTATTATGAAACACAATAATTATTACCATTACACCTAAGTACCATAATATATACATACATATATATACACACACACATTTATATAAATACCCTATATACATAGAGATATTAGAACAGATAAATAGCCTAATAATAATAGCGAACATACTCTATATATGTATATCATAAAACTTCTCTAAACAAATTTTTCAACTTACTTTTGCGCCTTAACAGCTCCCAATTCCCAACAACAAATTATATAAGCAGCAAATATGAATTATTCGTAACTCTACCAAAATTAGCAAAAAACAAAACAAAAAGAAAAAACTCTCTCAATTAGTCTTCGGTTTTTTTTCTCTATGTCTAAGTTTAAGTAAAGCGAATTGCTTAGTTAATTGTCTGATTAATCTAATGAAACACTAATATCTAAGCTTATAATATTAATGAGGCTGACTAGCGTTAAGTCTAAATCTAATTAGTCTGTAATACAAATACCTGTATATTACATAAATAACGGCTTAACATTGTAAGAAACAACACCAACAATTCGTAACTCTTAAGTATTTTTCGTGTACGCGCGCGCTGAGAGCGCACGCGGCGTATGCGTAACATTTGAATGTGAATCGAATTCGTTGAATCGTTTCGATTTCGCCACACGCCCGTGCGCTCGCCTTGTAAAGTTCTTAGTCCGGGCCGGATTATTCTCATTATGATCCCGGGCCGGCCTAAGTGGCAGCAGCGCGCGTTTGACCCGCTAATTGAGACTAAGACTATGCAAAATTGATTTTTTTGTATTTTTGTATTCGATACAAAGACGCAAAACCGTTGGAAAACTTACATTACGGAGCTAGCTATAATTGTAGAGCCTAAGTTTACTAAGCATATGCAATATTTATATAGTATATATATATATACATATACGCATTATCTAACTCTATGGATAAAGTATTGAGTGGGAGACCTACATACATGGAAAATATAAAAGAAGATAATCAAAATTATAAAAAAAAAAACAACAAAATTGTTTATTTTTCATTTCAAACTGTTTTTGGTTTTTGACTTTGGAATTTACTTTTTTTCAATTTTTTTGTTTTTTGTAAGTTGGTTGTGAGTTAAGACTTTTGATTTCTTGTGCAATACTCAAGTATTTTATATAATTTTGGAAATGATTTCGATTTGAATCTTGATTTAGAGTTAAAGCAAAGAAATATATAATCAAATAATATTGAGAAATAAATAATACTTTCCTATTTGTGAGACTGAGACTGAATGAATTACTATATATATATATATACAATACTCTTTAGCTTGTAGTGCTTTAGGCATTACAACAAAAACAGCAGCAGATACAACAAACAACAACAAACAAAGAAATAACTTTAGCATTGATTTGCCCGGCCGCAATTTCGATATTTTACAAACAAATGAAAACTTTTGCTAACAACATATTTTACAAAACGATAAAGGAAAATAGTTTTTCATACAATAGCATTTGGTTTATTGAAGCATTGTAATATATAATTATTATTTACATTAATATATATACATATAAACTATTATACATATATATATATATTTGTAATAGCACACGTTTGTAGCGTTAGAGAGATAGTGGGAGAGCTATAGAGAGCTATACTATCTACGCCCTACGCTGAGGATGCGAATTGTACAGTTATTTTGAAATCTGTTTCAGGATTCAAAACACAAAAACAAAAAAGTGACGACAACACGTAAATTTAAATGGAGAATAAATGACTGCTTCTTAGTGTTATAAGTGACTCTGATTTAGGTCAACACACACAAAAAACAAAAACAAAAACAAAAACAAAAAATCATTGATGCGAATCAATTATAGAAATCAAATCCAAATATATTGCATTATATATTCGATAAGTAATTATATGTATGTCAACTTTTATTGCAAATCAATATATATAAATATATT